TCTTGAGCCAAGTATGGTCAGTAACTCCAGCATCCACCCTGCCACATCTTCTAGCTCCCAAGAAGTCAGGCACCTGTTAGCAGAGGGGGCCAGCTCCTGGCATACTTAAACAGTGGATGAACTGTGTCAGAAGTGAGGCTACCTGGGTCCCCCTCCAGAAGTTCTGAATTTGAGGTCTCTAAACTATATATACAGGTAGATAGTATTTCAGTATAATTGCTTTCCTTTGTAATCCTATGTATTTTATTTTATATATTTAAAAACATTATCCTGAGAAGGGGCCCATAGCTTTCACCATACTGCCCAAGGGATTAAGAACCTCTTCTCTAGGTTATAGATTTATACTCAGAGACATTTCAGAAAAGCTTTACAATTCAAACCTATTAATAGGGGTGAGACTGACACTAGTGTTCCAGTTCAGATTTGATTTGGGGACAAAATGGGGCGCTCTAAAGTCATTGAATGGTTAACGAAGGGAGGTTTATTTAGCCCTAACATAGCAAGGAATGAAACAAGGACACAGTGGCAGTTAGCTTCCATAGAGCCTTCCTTTCCAAATAGAAACTGGTCTGGTCAGCAGGGCAGGGTGTGGTGACTTGTGCGTCTTCACCAAGTTGGAGGGGCCCTGACCACATGGATAGGATTTTTATGGCCTTAGGTCACCAGGAAGCTTAGGATCTTTTCGCTGCCTCTGAACTAATCCTGGTTATAGGTTCTATTGGTTCTATTAACATATTCTTCTGCCAGATGACCCAGGAAATTTGGGGGAGGAGGGCACTTTATTCTGTAATGCCTTTGCTTCCTGCTTTTTGTTTGTTCTTTGGGGCATATGCTATGGTTCACTGAATCATTTGGGTTCTTTACTTCTCTAGGCTAAGAACTAGAGTAAAGCACAGACTCTACTTCAGGACTCAAGCATGCATGTGATCTTAAGTCTCAGGCCTTCACTATGTGGACTCTGCCTGTCTAGGGCATCTTCATCTTGAGAGTTGGGGCAAGATTAGAGGAAACAAGCTTTCAAAATGGCAGGACCTTCCCAAAAAACCACTACTTATATCTTGCTCATGTGTTTTAGTCTTCATAATTTATGACTCATAGAACACAACTGTCTGCTCATAGAACTTGGCCATCTGTGCACAACTTTTAAAAGTTGAAAAGGAACATTGGCCACATGTATTCATTCTTACCAACTTGACATTTCTTATGCCCCAAAGGGATAGTTTGCAAAAATGGCTTCTGAGATCAAGAGTCACATTTAATAGTAATAATTTCCACCTGCTGCCATGTATCCTCAGAATATTTGCAGGGATTTTTTTTCTTTCATCCAAGGATCTCTGGGCACTTCACAAACAGTAGTTAATTAAGACTCAGACCCCTTTGAAGTTGGTGCTGTACCCATACAGATGGATAAACTGTAGAAGGAAGAGGTTAATTGAGTAAGTCCAACTCCACATGGTAATTCCATGGCAGAGCCAGGCACAGAATCCAGGATAACTACTTTCTAGTCCTATGTAGAAATACCGAGAAATCCCTGATAACCAATTGCTTATAATTCAGCTACAATATTTTTCCCCCTTTTAGTGAAAAAAATCAAGTACCCTCTCTCTTTCTGAACTTTCTGGATAAGAAGTATCTAAATAACTTCCCTGTCAATAAAGATCAATTTTAAGGTGGGTATGTTTATATCACATCTGCTAATAATGTTATTTGAGAATAACTTACTGGAGCACCTGACATTTTTTGTTCCTTGACAATAGTATATATGCTTGTTTGGAATTGTTTTTCCTTTTATTTTTCAATTGAGTTCTTCCACCCTCCTTGGCACTACTAGCTATCTTCCCACAATTAAATCCAGGTTGGATAATATTAATTTCATTAAAGTTACACAAGACTGGTATTCTTCATTTAAAACTTGTATTATAGAAGAACATTGCTTTAATATAATGATGAATAACTAGATGGCTGGAGGGTGAAAGGGAGAATTGGTGGGATTGAATTGGGAAAGTGAAAGGGAGTAGGGAGTAGTGGAGTGAAAATTAACAACAGTCCTCCAAAAGGAGGATTGCTCATATTGTTTTTTGCACTGTTTGCTGTTTAACTTTTCATATGTGTAGGACTTGATTTCCTAATTATAAGCTTCTTGTGCAAAAATGGTTTACCATGCTTTTTTTTTATCCCTTATAATACCTTGCATAGTGCTTTACACATAGTACGTACCTGATAAACATTTGCTCATTGGCTGACTTAGTTATACTGGACACAGAAGGGAGTAGAGACAGTGTTAATAAATGCTTGTTGACTTCACACACACACACACACACACACACACACACACACACACATTGGTAATGGAGCCAGCCTATTCTAAATTAGAGCAAATATAACTCTGAAGAAGAGAAAAAATGGGGACATAAGATATTCAAAAGTAAAATTAAATAGGAGGGAGGATAAAGCAGATAACATACTGGGGAGAAAATAGAACATGGAAAATTCTTATGCCAAAATGGCTATAAATGGGTCAGGATAAATTCTGATGCAAAGAATAACAAGCTAAAAAATTAAATTTCAAAAGTTTATTTATCAGGATAAAGCCCTTTACTTTGCAAATCCAAATTAGTTTTTTTGGCAGGACACAGTCAACATCATACTCATAGTAAGATTTAGGGCCAGGCAAAGCTAGGTTGCAAACTGAAAAACAGACCTAATTCTCTACATTCCTCTTCCTGGAGTCTAGGTCTTTTCCCACTTCTGCCTAACTCTGCCTGTAACCATGGCTACCAGCACCTCTGCAGCTCTGATAAGAATCACGTACAACTCTCTATTATATACAACGCATCCTTGCTGCCACACAAGTACAGCAGCTCTATAGGTACCACATATGCTATGGAACAAACTGCCATCTTGGCTGGAGCTGAAGGAAGCTATTGCTAATTTCTTCTAAGTTTTTCTCTCAGTATTCTGAACCACTGCAAGATTTTAGATCCTGGCTCCTTTCCCTTTCTGGAATAATAAATTGAAATTCACATTGTGCTTTTACTCCTATAGTTTTTACTGGTGTTTTCCCTTAACCCTTTCCCTTAACCAGAGCATTTAGGAAAGTATCTGCCTGTAAGAATCTTTAGACCATCTTCTTTTAAGAAAGATGAGATGGCTGCTTTGGGAAAAGTCTGGAGGCATCTAGGTGGGCACCTGGCCTGGAATCAGGAAGAGCTGAGTTCAAATTTGATCTCAGACATTATGTGACCTTGGGCAAGTTACTTAAGCTTGTTTCTCAGTTTCATCTGTAAAATGAACTGGAAAAGAAAATGGCAAATCACTCCAGTTACTTTGCCAAGAAAACCCCAAATGAGATCATGAAGTCAGACACTACTGAAAAAAGACTGAGACCTTTCCCTCTGTGTGATCCATTTCTTCAGCTATCACATGAAGCTATTTTTTTTATCTTTGCCCTACCTCCTCATTGGGATGGTTGAAATAGGGAGTATTGACTTAAAGTTTCTAAGCAGCTTGAAAGCCAAACAAAGGAGTTTGGAGTCTAACGTAATAGACAATAGGGACCCATTGTAGTTTTTTGAATAATGAGTGACAAAAATACTTATGTTGATCTGAAGGAATTATTATTCTGTTAGTGTGGTAAATTCCTTCATCAATGAAGATCACAACCCATCTCTTAACTTCCAGTCCTTAGGGAGTGACTTGTCCATGGTCTTCTTGGCTCCAAATTGAGCACTCCATTTACTATAGCATTCCATGTTATTGAAAGGCAGCATGTTACAGTGGAAAGAGCACTGGACTTGGAGTCACAGGATGAGTTTGAATCTAAGCTCTCCCTTTACTGATTTACACTTGGGCAAGTTAATTTCTCTGGTTCTGTAAACTTCCGTAAAATGATTTTACCCTAGATGACCTCCCAAGATCCTTTCCAGCTCTATGATTTTTTGATTATCTGGTAATGGCATGCAGCATGCTTTATAATAGGGAAAGACTGGAGATAGGGAGGCCAGCCAGGAGTCCAACCATAAGAAAATGAAGATTTAGATTAGGGTGGCAGTAGGCCTGTTCTAATAGTACTGTGGTTTAGGGGAAAGAACATTGTTTTTTTCAATCAGAAGACCTGGGTTCTGATCTTAATTCTTTTCTTAACTGTATAATGTTGGACAAATCACTCTCTCCCATTCTATTTCCACATTTGTATAACATTGAATAAGATGATTTCTAAGGTTTCTTACAGCTTTAGGGTTCTGAAAATTTCAGCAGCGGCTAGGTTTTGACTATTCTAGTCATGGGCAACAGAGAAAGGCTCTTTCTTTCCTCCCTCCTTTGTCATTCATATTTCCTTGGTGGCAATGGCAATTTAATAAATTTATTACCTCAGATATTCTAAGCACTGTGCCTAAGTGCTATCTTTACATATAGATGTAGATATATACATATGGATATACTTTACATAAGATTATAGATATTCTTACATATCTATACTTACATACCTGGAAGTACCTGCTGGTTATATTAGTTCAACCAGGTCTTTGGCCCCTAAGCAAAAGTGATCACCCTTTGTAATGTACTCTCAAAAATAAAAAAAAAAAGTACATTTATCACACTAGAAACTAAAAGGTAGGCAACAGAATTGTAATCAGGGTTAGGCAATCAAGGCTTTTTCCCACGATTCACAGATTTTAGGCTGGTGCCAAAAATTTAAGCCATAGGCACTGGGGGAGCAGCAATGGGTCCATTCACAGGATACAATCCCCAACACTACCCTTCCCCCACCCAGGTAAAGGTAATCCCTCTTTGGCAGCTTTCCCAAATAACCCTAGATCTTTCAGCAAACATGGTTCTCCGCTATGAGATTTGCACCACTCAAACACCAGGGTCTGGTGATCTCAAAACAAAACATCCTATCTTTCTGGGCACCTTATACCCGAGCCCATTGAGACTCCTCCCTTCTCCCCAAATAATTCCTAGGGTAGCCTAGCCCACAAGGACATCCAGACACAGGGTGAATGCATATGAAATTTATTAACCGAAAAGGAAACACAGGCTTGGCATATGTCTGAGATAGTTTAATAATGCTGTCCATGGATGGGTTCAAGGCTAGGAAAGCTCCCCTAGGCCTAAGGGAGGCCAGGTCCTTGAAGCAATGGGTTTGTGTTAGAAAGTCTTTAGCCAATCTGGGGAAGAGGAAGTAGTAGTTCAATTCAGGAAAGTGTGTCCACAAAGTCCCTGGATCAGGTACAGAGAAGAGGAAAAATGTTGAATCATGTTGGACTATGGAGGGTAAAAGGTTCTCAGCCTGTGGTTCATATGCATGTATGCTATCAAAACTTGGGGACTTTCTGCTGTCTTGATACCAGACTGGAAAATGCTTGCTGGTACCTGAAACTGGCATGGGTGATTTAGTTGCCAGACGAATTAGAGCCAGATGCAGAAGCTGATGCCATTTCATCTCGGAGGGCTTCGTTATACTGGGACACCCAGCTGGAAGGCTCCCGATTCTGAATCTTTGCCACAAAGCGAAGGACTTGCATCTTGCTCGTCTCATGGGCAGCTCTGGGTCCCCAGAGGAATTCATACTCTGCAGGCTCGGTATGGGGGATTAGATTGTACTCCAAATATTTCTGACGAACAAACTCTTCCGTGACAAGCTTCTTCACATCCCCGAAGGTGTTGTGCCTTTTCTCTGGATCCACCCGAAGCTTCTTGAGCACTTCCCAGACCAAGGACTCCCTGGCCGAGTTGCCTTTCATGAAGATGAGGCTCAGGATCACCATGAGGAGGCCCATCTTGGCCACGCTTTCATCGTTCCTCATGCCATCCCCCTCCAGGCGTTCCAGCTTGTTGATGAGGATGTAGGCATGGTGCTTCTGGTCTATCTCCTTGAGCTGCAGGCCGAAGACCTCCTCGAGGGTCTGGCCTGCGCGCTTGATGATCACGGAGACCAGGTCTTTGTAGTCCTGCAGGATGGTCTTCACCATGTCGGCACGGCGGATGGGCACTTTCTTCTGGTCCTTCACCAAGAGGAACTGCACCAACTCGTTCACCTTCTGCTGGATCTGGGCCTCGGTGCGCCTGGCCGGCTTCTTCTGGGCCTGGGAGGACAAGGAGGACGACGACGACGAGGTGGAGGGCATCGGCGGGGTCGCAGTGGGCCCGGGCTCCTCGCACCCCGCCTCCTCCATGACGTCATCATCTACCTGCGAGGGGCCCGCCTGGGCCAGGGCCTGGGCTAGGGCCTGGACGTGGGCTCGGGAGAAGCCGAGGCCGCCGCCGCTGGTGCTGGTGCTGGGCCCGTCGCTCGCATCGCGGCTGCCGCTCAGGCCGCTGGAGCTGGCGCCGCCATCGCCGCCGCCGCCGCCGCCGCTAGCGCGGGGAAGGCCTCGGCCTTTCTTTTTCTGAGACATGCCGATCCCCACTCGGAACGAACGCCGGAGCCTGAGAAAGCCTCCTTCGATACTGGGACAGCCGGATCGCTCGGGGCCGCCGGCTCCCTCACCCCAGCACACGCCCCCTCACGAAAGCCTCGGACGGACGGACGAACGGACCGACGCTGCTCAGCCCCTCTGAGGCAGACCCTGACTGGCAGCGCGCCCACGCAAGGCCGGGAACGTGCACGCCCTGGCGCTTTTGCGTGAGGTGAGGAGGGGGCTCGAGGAGAAGAGTCGGAGGCCAAGTGCAGTGGGGGCGGGGCGGCGGCAAAAAAAAAAAACAAAAAAACAAAAAAACAAAACTACCAAAACGAGAAAGACGCTGGATGCGCGCCCCCTCGCTTCCCCCTCCCCCGCCCAGGCCCAAGTCCAAAGTGAGGCTTCCTCGCTGTGTCTCGCGGGAGTAGCGGCTGCTGGTTATTTTTTGTTTTCTAGTCATTTGCCCCAGCGTGAGAGCCTGGAGCGAGATAAAGAGGAGGTGGGTGAAACCTTGCGGGGTGGAACGTTCTGGACGCCCGCACCTGCGCGCCGCAGCCTGGCAGGCGGCTGGGGACGTGCTCCGTGTAAGGCCCTCAGCCGCCCCCGCCCCCGGCTTCCAGTCCTGCCTCTGGCCTTGCCACTTTGGGCGCCCCACTCAGCCTCCCGTGCCTCAGTTTCCTCATCTGTAAAATGCGGGGATGAGATGGGCTCAGAGGTCCTTTTCAGGCCCAAATCTGGGATTTTGAAGTCCCGTGAACTTGTAACTGGTTGTTTTGTGGTACTATACACAGGTCCCAGGACCTGGGTTTGAATCTTGCCTCTTCTCTGCACCTCAGTTTCCTCATCTGTAAAATAAGGAGACTAGATGAGCTCAAAGGGCCCTAAAACTATGATTCTGTGGCGCCTTGAATTTGTAACTAGTTATTTTGTAGGTTAGGAAGCAAGACCTGGGTTCAATTTCTACCTCTTCTTACTAACTGACTTCAGATGCAACATTTAACCTCCCTAGGCCTCAGTTTCCTCATCTATAAAATGAAAGGAGGAGATGAGCTCAATTTTGAGTTCTATGATCCCATAAATGTGTTACTAGGTGTTTTGTGGGTCAGGTACCCCAGAAGTGCCAGGACTTGAGTTCAAATCTTGTCTCTTCTTAATAACTGTGACTTTGGGTACAACACTTAACCTCCCTGTGCCTCAGTTTCCTTATCTGCAAAATGAAGTTGGCATAGATGGACTTTGAGGTCCTAAATCTGTGCTTCTGTAATCTTGTAACTGCCAGGTTTTTTTGTTGGTGAGTAAGAGGGTTTGGATTTAAATCCTTCAAAGCATTCGAAGTGCTTACCATCAGTGTGATATTGCGCAAATCACTACTTAACCTTCCTGGGTCTCAGTTTCCTCACCTGTAAAATGAAGGGGTTGAACTGGATGATTTTTGGGGTCTCTTCTAGTATCTACTATATTCAAGACACTGGGGATACAAAGATTTTTAATGCAGTGCCTTCCGATTTTACGTAGAACTGCCTTTCTGTCCAGGGATGTCTTATCTATTCCTAACACTAGTCAGTCATTAAACATTTATTAAGTTATGTGCCAGGCACTGTGCTAAGTACTGGGGATACAAAAAGAAGCAAAAGACAGTCTCTGCCCAAAAGGAGCTTACAATCTAATGATTCCATTGTGATTTGCATTTTTGTTTTTTTAACATTTAGGAACTTCACAAACATCAACATTTCCTAATGCAAAGAACAGGAAGAGAGAGCTGTATATGACACTGAATCTTTCTTACTTATAATTTGTTTTGCAAGGTAGATAATAAATTTACCACAGTGGTTTCAACACTTCCCTGCTTGTCTGTGTCCTCTTCTGAAATTATGTTTTCTTGTGTCTAGTGTTTCCTCTATGCACTTTTATCTCTCTACCTCCATACTCCTCCATAATTCTTTCCCTACTCATCTCCCAAGATATCATTGGATTTAAGTGGGCTGCTGCAGTCTTATCTCCTCTTTTCTTCCTTTGCTTTTGGTCTTAAGGAAGTCCCTCTCTTATAGATCTCCAAACCAAAGATGTTGGACTAAGTCCTTAACCTCTCTGGCCTTCAGTTTCCTTATTTGTAAAAGGAGGGGGTTAGACTAGATCAGGGATGGAGAACCTTTGGCTTTGAGGCCACATGTGGCCTTCTAGATTTTTAAGTACAGCCTTTTGACTGAATCCAAATTTTACAGAACAATTTGGCCTTTTGACAAACTATTCTGTAAAATTTGGATTCAGTCAAAAAGGCCAAATTGTTCTGTAAAATTTGGATTTGCTCAAAAGGCTGCATATAAGGATCTAGAAGGCCACATGTGGCCTCGAGGCCACAGGTTCTGCATTCTTGGACTAGATGGGCTCAGAGGTCCCTTCCAACTCTAAAACTTAGGATCCCATGTTCTTATAGAATGTTATGTTACCGAAGTTACTTAATCTTAGTCCTTATAGATGCCTCGTCTTTAAAATGAGTTGGTAGTACCTGGCTTTGAATCCTGGCTCTGCTGCTTGCTCCTTGACCTTGGTTAAGTACTTAACCTACCTGTGCCTTAGTTTCCTCATGTGCAAAATAAAGTGATTGGGCTAGGTGATCTCTAATGTTCCATGTAGCTCTAAATACTATGATCTTAAGACCTCTTTATGTGTGTGTGTGTGTGCGCGTATGTGTCTATACATACACTTAATTCTGGGTCTTTAAATCTTTACTTTGTGATAATATGTGATAATAGTTCCCTTGGCATGTAATTTTTTTTTTAATTATAGAAAATGCCCCATCCACTCTTCCCTGTGTCCTTCAGGAAACTAGAAATGAAAGTGATTTGCCCCAAGTTTGACATTACCCACTTACTGTTCCTCATGACCCCATTAAGAGAACAACAGATTTAATATTTATTCATTGAGAAATAAGAAAAAGGAAGAAATTAAAACATTGCTTAAAAAATTAATTAGTTATAAAGCTCAAATAAGATAAAGGCTCTAAAATAGAAATAAGATGCTAGAGGAACTCAGTTTCCTATAACATTAGACAACTAAGCCACATTTGATCATTTTTGTCCTTTACAGGAGTGAAAGATTCCTGCCTTTCTCAATGACATTGTAATAGATTTCCTTTTGTATGAATTTATAATGTGTGCTTTAAGTTTTAGAGAAGAGGGTTAGTTACCTGGGGTTCATGAACTTGTTTTAAGAAATCTTTTGATAACTATATTTCAGTATAATAGCTTTTCCTTTGTAATCTGTGTGTTTTATTTTATGTATTTAAAAACATAGCTCAAACTGCCTTCACCAGACTGCCAAAGTGGTCCATGACATTAAAAAAGGTTAAGAACCCCTGTTTTAGAGGGAGGCAGCTGGTTCAGTGCATGGAGTGCTAGACTTGGGGTTAGGAAGTTAAATTTTTGTCCTGCTTAGCTTTTTTATTCCTCTGCAAATTATTTAAACTAAGACTCAGTTTCCTCATTTGTAAAATGGAGAGGATTACACCCACCTTATTATCACCTACCTTACAGGGTTGTTGTGAGGATTACATGTAATAGTATTTATAATGTTTTGTAAACCTTCCAGTTCCCTTTAAGTGTTGGTTATTATTATTATTAAGACTAGATTTCATCATAGAAAACATAGTGGGGCAATATACCTGGAGCAAGCCTTTCTGGAGAAATGATCTAAATAAATAAACAACAATGATTGTAATAACATTCTATACTTTTATAGTACCTTTCATCAAGGATCTCAAAGCGCATTATTAACATTAACTCATTAATCCTCACAACACTCCTTTGAGGGAAGATTAAGTATTAAGTTGCAATGATTATTGCCATCATTATCCTTCAAACAATTCCAAGCTATACTGTGGCTGAGCTGGTACACTTTGGGAGAATTTTTATAGGAGCTTGGATCTTTCTGCCAATACTGCTAAACAATGTTTTAATATCTCTCCCTTTTCTTATTCCTCAATGAATAACTATTAAATCTACTGTTGTCTTAATGTGGTCATCAGGAGCAGTGGTGAGTAATGTCAGACTTGGGGCAAATCACTTTTCTTTCCAGTTTCCTTGTTGGAAAGACTCCATATAGATCCAAGTCTCTGAAATTGAGCCCTGCTTTTATTTTTAAAATATGAGTGATGTTTATGACTTCAGCCCTTATCTCTTTAGGTAAGGGCTGGAGAAGTTTCACTCTACATGCAGCATCCTGTTTGTTCTGATACCATTTAAATATGAACAGTGTCCTTAATACCAAAGCATTTTAGGCCTGAGTACAATTGGTTTCATCGTTTACATGTAACTACATGTTAACTCTTGTGTTGTGGAATTATACAGGTACCGTCATATCTATACATCCATGGAACTGACACTACCTCAGTATCCCTGCTAAAGAAGAATTAGGTCACCCCATATATTAGGAAGAATAATCACCAGTAATGTAAGGAAACTCACCAAACCAAGGCCCATTGATTTGACAAAGTAGAAGCTCAACTACCCATGGAAATCCAATGGGATATGAAATTGTGCTCATGTACCTAGTTGTATTCATGTATGTTTGAGCACTATTTCTTTTAATTTTTTAAATTCAGTTTTATTTTATTTTAGTTCCAAAATTTCTCCCTTTCTCTTACCCTCCCCCACCCATTGAGAACACAAGAAAAATAAAAACCTTTACAGATATGAACAGACATGCAAAATAATTTTCTGCATTAGCCATGTTCCAAGAAAAAAGCTACCTATTTCTTTATATTAATTTTTTTTAGTATTATCATGATATATTTGACATTAGTAAGTATCAACATGGAAATATTCAAACTGAATATGGAGCAAACCTTCAATTAAAATGCTAAATTTACATTACTTATATTTTGATTAAATAGAAGAAAATCTTACACATTTTTTTTTTTTTTTTTTGGCAAGGCAGTTGGGGTTAATTGACTTGCCCAGGGTCACACAGCTCGTAAGTGAAAAGTGTCCCAGGCCGGATTTGAACTCAGGCCCTCCTGACTCCAGGGCCAGTGCTCTATCCACGGTGCAAATATCTTACACATTTTAACAAAATAAAAATATGAAACAATTATTT